TTACGATAAGTCCAACCAAGAGTGTTTAGCCAGTTCTGAAAGTTTAATTTTTGGAAGTTCTGGTGGTGTTATGATTTCTAAATTCTCCAAAGTGTATCACATTAAAGGATACACACTGATTGAGTTTCACGCAGTCCATACTGGTGGAGAGTTTGTAAGATGTTCAACTTGTTTGAAACATTTTGGCTCAGCTATGGACAAAGCTGGTTCACAGCCTGACACTTGGAGAATTTGTGAAAAATGTGAAATTGATGAAAATCTTTCTTTCAACAATCCAATTCCATATTCGACAAGTGTTTCAGTTCATTCAAGGCCGTTTGTTGAGTTTTATTCACTTGTGGTATTGCCAAAGATTTGTGAGATTCTTTCTCTCACTGAAGTTCCTTCTCTGCTTGAATACTGTAAAATGCACCAAAATTAAAGTCTTGTACACCAATAATAATAATTACAATCTCTAAACAGGTTATTTTTCTAGTGATTGTTTCATTTCACTAATAAATTTGGCTCCTTCATGACCAATTTGATTTTCAGAAATATTAAGTGATGTTAATTGTTTCATTCCACTTATAAATTTGGCTCCTTCATCACCAATTTGATTGTAATTAATATCAAGTGATGTTAATTGTTTCATTTCACCTAAGTATTTAGCTCCTTCATCACCAATTTGATTGTAATTAATATTAAGTGATGTTAATTGTTTCATCACTTATGAATTTGGTTGTTTCTATAGAGTCAAGCAAATTGCTAGAAAATTCAACATCAACAATGCCATTCATAAATTGACTTTTCATGAGTAATTCAACTCTTTTCTCTGTAAATTTTTTTTAAATTGAATAACCACGAATCATCAATCATGGAAATTATTTCAAAACAAACATCATCTGAAAATATTTCTTGTTGGAGTTTCACAACTTCCTCTTCCGTATATATTATTGTTAGTGAATATTTCCTCCTCCGAATAATTAATTAATTAATTGATGATTTTGAAAATCTTGTCTATTTCGTTTGCTCATTTTTTCAAGGAATAATTTTTTCTGATTTGATATGACATGATAATAGATTAGTAATTAA